TTCAATGCTGTACACACTTATCATCTACTGAATATTCCTGCTGCCCCTAACAAGTTGAAAAAATTATACACCCAAAAGGCTTGAAAAAGGACACAATGAAAACAACCTTAATTTAAGCGCTGAATGTAATGGATATCAGCAGGGAGAAAAGTGTTCTCCCAATGGCCGGTTTTGTTTCCTATTACAAATCATTATCAGGATTTCTATTTTATGATCGCTAACAAATTTCTGGGTGCCGTTGGTTTAGTTCAAATGCACCTTATCGAGCGCGACAGTAATTTAGGAAGTTCCGTGTTCTGCTTCAGATATATGTTCCCTCGTGGAATATTATTTTTCAAGAAATGAGGCTTCCTCACAGGTCTCATGTTGCTTGTATCCCTGTATCCACTTTATTAGAAATATAGCCAGCAGTAGTTAAATTACGGTTAGAGAGTCCCGGATATCTCTATAAAAACTTTACAAATTCGTAGGAGTCAGTGAGTCATATATTAAGGTCTTTACCAGTGGTACTTTGTTGCTACTGAGCTTGAGGTAAGATGATTCAGAGACGCTCGAATATTGGATCTGGATTTAGGAAGGATTGGTTGATGGGATTAGTACCCCCTCCTGGCCTCTCAAACAATTTGTTCGGATTAATCAAGTTTGTAAATTTATGGCATACTGTAATACTGATTCATAGACGCTTGGAGATAAATTAAAGGTGCATGACACATTTCTAAACCTCACATTCAGTTGTTGCGCTCAGTTCAAGTGCTTTGACTGCTTATTCAAACTAGGCTCTCGTGTTTTAATCAAATAACAGGTGTCACTGGGCTGATTGTTTTTCTTTTTTTCTATTTCTTTTTTTTTTTCTTGTTTTGTTTTGTTTTGTTTTTTCATCCCTTAATTCAAAGGATAATAATCAGAAGAAAACTGAAACACAGACCTAAGCACCGAATTGCACGGATATTCTTAACCTGATAACTAGACTAGTTAAGAAAGAGGGAAGGGTCTAAGGGGGAAATTCCATCCTCGAATGATTCCTTTAACAAATTTGTTTACTTTTTTTTTTTCTTTGTGGACAATCTATCACGGAACGAATTTTCCGAAACCAATGCATGTCTTAAAGGACATTTCTAAGTCCAAGTGTTAATGCCGCTTTCTTAGGATAAGATGCGACAGCACCCACGCATTGAACTGCCTACTTTCAAGGTTGGATTCTGTTTAATATATTTGCCTCTCTTTTGTGCCGGCCTCATGTATTTTTTTAAACTTTAAAGATCGTATGCTCGTAAGTTTGTTTTTAACAATCTCAACTTTTGTATTAAAAAGGATTTTACGTCAATTGTCGCCCATTTCTATATTAGCGCAGTCATTAGAGTGGTTATTTTCTTCGTGAATATAATAATTTCGGCAAGAGGAGAAGGAATTTCGTCCATAAAATGTCGTCTGCGGTACGTACTTGAGCAGCCATTTCGAATCCTTGTTTACCTACTGCAAACTACGTGATCACACAGCTAAAAAGATCTATTACTAGGGCTGCTCATTTTATAAAGAGAAATTAACATTTCGGGAGACGAGGAGTGGCACATAGGGGGAGGTAGGAACAAGGGTACTGTGCATCAGCATTAGAGGAAAGAAGGCATCTAGGTCACTTGGAGATAAGGCATTATTGTATGTTCGGTAGATTTGGATTTAAGGCGTCTTTTGCAAAAATAAAGAAGAGTATAAACTTACAAGTCCGATAACAAGGTGTTTTTGCTAAAAATGTCTGATGGTAATCCCTTCAACTGATTGTTGTCCAACCGCCTAACAAAAAATCATTTAATCACATCATTTAGTACGTTACACCAGTTAAGGAAGGTCAAGAAACACAGAAAATGCTTGTAAACAGACTGTAAGCGTCAATAAAGCAATGCCTCCTTTGTAGTTGCAATAAGAAAACGAGCTATATTGTAGAACAAAATGACTTTGAGGGTTTTCTATTCGAAGCATTGAAAACAGTCCACTGAACACTTTAAAAATTCCTCTCTACTCCCTCTGTATCTTCCAATCACCTATTGTTATAATACACAAGGCTTTACCATACGAACTGATATGAAGTGTAGACCACTTCATGAGTCAGGCGACGTTTATTTGTTTTCATGAGGGTGGGGGGTAGGGTAGTTAATTAAGATACCAAAAGAAGTATGAAAGGGAAAAATAATGAACTAATAATTAAGAATGTGTGGAATAGACAGACGTTGGCAGAGAAGAGTAAGGACAATTTTCTCGTGTTACGACTGGTTTGCGGCCCAGTCTGGGTTTCCATACGGGAAGTTAGTTTTTAAACATGCCCAGAAGTGGCCTTTTCGAACGGTGCCACATAGCTGCATGATACCGGTGTACAAATGTATGTAATATTTTCCGCAGCCAGCCGTAAAATTGTGCCTTATTTACCGATAATACTGGAGGTGGGGAAACTAAAACACCAACAAAATCATTTTAATTTATTTGCCTAAATTGCAAAAAAAAAAAAAAAAACGCAGGAAATGGCATTTCCGAAACCCTAGATTTAAAAATGTTCTGGAAGAGCATGCCCCCAGATTTCTTATAAAGGGGTAAGTTTCTAAAGAAACTGTGGTGCTGCGTCGGTGGGAGAGTATAGCAGGTAATTTAGTGTTAACAACTGGGTTGAAAACGTAAATTAGCCACCGTAAAGGGTAAATCACTGTTTCCCGCGCAAAGCACATGCCCGTTAGGGCTAACGCTCGAAACGTCAGCTTTTTTACCCTTTACGGTGGCTTATTTACGTTTTCAACCCAGTTGTTAACACTAAATTACCCAGATTTCTTAGTTTGGACGGCCTTCACCGCTCGATATTATCTCCTCGTGCGTTCACAAAAAAGTTTGACGCTACACCTGGAGGATGTCAACTTCTCGATCGGTATATTTTTACAATGTGATAACTAGGCGAACAATAACGTGCAATAATAACCACCAGCGCTACGTTCAAAAATACAAACGGTTTAACAATTCATCGGCGGTGTGACGGTAGCGGCGAGATTCGTAATTTCGTTCGTCGCCATATACGTGCATCACAATGATAACGAGACTTGTGAAAATCATAATTCCCCGCGATGGATATTCGATTAGATAAACTAAAAGCAGGGAATTAGACAGGAGTACCGATCGTTACGTTTAGCTTTTCGTAAATACTACGAGTACGTTTCGGTAGCTGGGTATGGCTAATACCAACACTGTGTGAGATAGGGCGTATCGCGGTGCTGAAACCACACGATACAGACCCGTATTCTTCGAGAACACGGACATATCCGGACGTACCGTGTTCCAAGACATGCGATGTGTCCACCGAGTGTCAGGAACTTTATTCGTTCCAATTCGGACTTAACCCGTCGCATGGAAAATCCGATGTCAGGATACGTCATTGAAACGCGGCGTGTGGAGACCTGGAAATTTCCTTATACTTTCAGATTTGCCGCAAATAATGGCGTACCGTATACGAGCGCGGTCAGTCAAATTGTGTCTTTCTTTCGTGTCTTTCTAAAAATTGTCTTTTCCACCGTGAGAACAGTTTCACTAAGTATTCTTGTCCCGAAATTCTACGGTACCAGACGAATCGATCTGTATTCTAGAACCCGATTTTCCACGGTAATACGAGAATCGCGTAGTATTCAAGAACCCGAAATTCCACGGTACTAGACGAATCGGTCTGTATTCTAGAAGCCGGTTTTCCACGTTACTATGAGAATGGCTTGATATTCAAGAACCCGAAATTTCTCGATACTTGAAGAATAGATTCGTATTCTAGATTTTGATATTCCACGGTACGAGAAATTTCACTCGGCATTCTTGATCCACACTACATACTATCAGGTGTTCTTGGAAAAAGCAACGAATTCTCCCGATAATTCTGCACCCTCTTACTAGTGTATTTTTCTCAGAACCTTTACTCTAAAACAATAAATTATTTTAATATCTAATAAATAATACTCAAAATGGCCAATTTACAGAATCTATTTCATCATGTGATGACTAACAACTAAGTCTAACCTTATGCACAAAAAGGGAAAAAATTTAGATTGTGTGTAATAATTAAATATACTAAGCTAAAAGTGCTTAATGCTTGACATGGATGAAAGCAACATTTTCAATATTTACATAAATCATTACACCACGACAATAATTTTAGTATGATAAAAAGACATTTTTCCATCAGTCAGATATGAAGACAAGAATAACAAAAAGAAATGTCTATACTCTAATATTAGAGAGTAATAAAATTTTATCAAAAACAACAATAAATTCTAAGCAAGTCATACCATGTTAACAACTTAGTGAGCCCTGGTTATTTACTGAGCTGGATAGTGCCTTTTTAAAGCCAATTCTTTAACATAAAAGTTGTTTGAAGAGCACAATAATTCAAGAAGCTTGTTTGAAATCATTCCAATAAAATTAACTGTGGCATATCCAAAACTGTAGCATTCTTTACAAAGGTCTTCAGTACATCTAATATTACTTCAACAATAAATGGAGTTGATCGCCACAAAATTCTATGTTATTTAAGGTTTCTTCCCACAGATTTTTGAACTGTTTGCAATAGCTGGCAGATTATGTTCCAATCAAGATGAGAGAGAGAGAGAAAGTGGCATCATTTGTTAATTTTTCAATTTGTGAAACCAGATAATGCAATATGCAAAAAAAAAAAAAAACATTTCGTGAGTTAGGGTTAAAAAGGAACCATTCACCCTAATACCCATAAACCACCTTGCCATTCTGTCAAATGAACTGAATTAAAAACAGAAGGCAAAACATACAAGTTATGTAAATAAAGAACACTTAGGCATTAATTTAGTCCCACAGTGACTGTAGCCGTCTGTTTGGCCTCCTCCGGATTGTGACAGGGCTGGTGTCCAACATATGCAAGGGTTCCCCATCGCTTTCATCACCACTGCAATGTTGTGGGGACGGTGGGGAGGGAGGAATCCTATTTTGAGAAGGAGACCTCTCAGGATCACCAGGAAGGAGTGCCCATGCAGGTGAGGAAGTTGGTAGACTGTGTGTGGATGGCTCTCCTTCTACTCTTGTATTTTGTGGATGTGAGCTTCAGGAGGAAGATGGCTGTTTGTCAATTTTCTCCTGAAGTCTCTTTAAGAGAGGAGATAGCTGTGGACTACGCCACAGTGGTGACCTCACAACCCACACATCCTCTTGACTGCCCTCACCATTCTCCTTGCCACTCATGAAATTTGCATCAATTTATTGCAGAGCAGTCTTCTCTGCTTTATTTCTTCTGTCAGGTGGATTGTCAAGGTATTGTTGTCTTTTTGTTTCATAATATCTTGACACAGCACCTGGTACATAAAAATAGTATTAGGTTAATTGCTTATTATTTATTTATTACCCAAATTCATGAAAAAGTCTTTGATGAGAATCTTGTCCTAACATTGAAAGCTACTTTTCTCAAATTTATCCATTTGTTCTCTCAAGTAAATGGCAACCTTACATCAACATTCGATGAGAAAGTCAGGTTAGGTCATTTTCAAATTCAACCTATTAAATTGTTTGATATGCATCAAATGTGTCTCTTCGAAGTTAAGTTTCATTCAACAGGAACAATAGGGGTCTTCTACTAAAGGCAGGCACAAGACAGGTTACGCACCTCGAAAAGCTCTGTTTTAGGGTACTCTAGACAACAAACTTTCAGATGAATTAAACAAAAGTTTAAAAAATTTCTTACAAGGTGACCACATTTTGTTGGACCAGAAAAGTAAATTGCATGCACACTCTAGTAGCACATTTATGTATGTACTTTAAAGAGAAAATCATATGAACACATCACTTACACTTGATAGTTGACTTTTCATAGTCATTGTTTTCCTTTTCCAGTTCCTTACAAAGAAATCCTCGAACAGCACTGTTGTGGGCAGTATCAATGCTACAAAGGAATGTTATAGTAGTACTTTGTTAGAAAGGTGCATAAAGATGAACAAAATTAAATATAGGTTTAAGTTAGTGACCAAGCTTGTTTGGAAGGTGATAAAATTTTTGTGTGTTTATGAACTGAGACTTTGTCAAGATCTGTGAAGATGTAAAAAGTAAACAAGGCCAATTGCTCAGCATCTTGACTAAAATAAGATATTCACATGGCCAACAAAGTTTGCTTGTAGGAAAATGCTTGAGGGAAAATCACAGACAAATAAAATCCTGTCTTCCCCATTTGCCAGCCAATCGCAAAAAATCAGGGGACTTTGCAGAGAGCCGGAAACAAGTCACTTCAAGTTGTTTTAAATGACAGAAAAGACCACAATACACAAGAACACAGGCTTCTCCATCTCCTCGCGGTTTGCTTGGATCAAAATGGCGGACTATTAAGCATTGTGTAAAATCTTTTTTTGTCTTGTGAAAGTAATCCTTTTCAGTCACAAGTAAGCAAAGCTTTAATTTGTCCTGCAAATTTTAATGTGGCTTCTTGTTCTGACATGTGCCACCCCTCTAGGAGGGACAATCTCTTAACTTTGGTTGTCCTTTGTCCCCACCTAGAAAGGGAAATTAAGTTCTTTGACTACACCCTTTGCAAAGTCCCCTCCCTTAACCAAGGTTCCCCCCTCCAGGAGATGGCTGATGATAGGTGCATTTCCAAAACATTCCACAGACGAACTCTTAATATCCTGAATAGATATCTTTTACTCACCCTTCACTTCCACAAAACTAAAGTTCAACTTCTTGTTTGTTGTGCAACAAGTGCACATCACCCTTAAATTCAAACAAAATTAATTATAAGAACATTAACGTTTCTTATAAGAACAGTGTATGTGGAATCAAAGGTGAAAAGTGAAATAAGGGAGTTAAGTTCAAATTCTAATAATATCATGGGTAACAAATTATGCTTACAATTGTGTGGTTTAAAATTTCTAGCCAGAAGACAAGATGTTTTATTTACAAAAACAAACAACTTAGGGACAAATTAAGAAATAAATGTTTAATCATTTGTCTCATGACATAGAGTCAGGCTATCAAAAGTTTGACAGCAATGTTTCCTACTGCTACACTGCTAGTCTTTGTCAGGCAGCATGTTTGAATGTTTACATGTTGCTATATGTAGTACTTTGGTGTTTTGTCATTGGTACGTTGTAGTACTCTGTCCTTGGTGAATTTCAATCCTCATTATTATTCCTACTAGCAGATGTTATTCCCTCATAGGTCCGCTTTGTTACTGACCGGCTGTGATGCTTTTTAACTGTAGCCATCCACACTTCAGAAATTTTGATCCCACTCTCTCTATTGATGTTATTAGGGTAAAGTTTTATGTGGATGGCTTCTTAATCAATAATGAGAGCAGAATTTAAATTCCTTAAGCATGGATGCCCACAATCAAAAAGCATAACAGCTAGTCAGTAAAAAAGCTGACCTACGGGAGAACAACATCTGCTGGTTGGAATAATAATGAGGATCAAAATATCCCAATGATGGAGGGCCAAAATGTACCAATGACAAAACACCAAGGTGCTACATATAGCAACACATAAACATTTGACTTCATCACCTGATGAAGAAGACTAGCAGTGTAGCTGTCGAAACACCCAATCAAACTTTTGATAGTCTGACTCTAAATCATGAGAAAAATGATTAAATGCTCATTTATCGATTTAACCTCAATGAACAATAACATCTACTTTAACTTAAGGACATTTTTGTAAATTATTACAGAAAAAAACAATCTATACTGAACTATGTGGAGTAACCTTTTTCAGTAGCTTTAAAACTAAATTGCAGAAGTTGATTTTCAGGCACTATTGGCAAATGATGTCTGACATTCTCAAAACTTCATACACTGGAGCAATCTTGGAGGCCGCCCCCCGAGTATTTATTATTCTCGGCTTAGTTTCAAACAAGCCATATGACATGCGGTATTAACATCACAAAGAAGGGAATACTGTCCCACAAGCTTAAAATACTTCCCATACCAGAATCGAAGCTTAAAAGGAAACGCCTATTGCTACAGTGCTGGAACAAAAATTTGCACAAACCTTTAGTTGCTTTGGAACAGGCCCACGAAGGATATTCTCCTTCTCAGTCGACTGAGGTTGGCGATCGAGCTTGTGTCGTACAGTCTGTAGTTCGGTCTTCACCTCAGCCACTTCTTTACAAGCGTTTTCCAGTTCCACGCTCAAACTGTCTAGTTTGGCATTTTGCCGCTTTACTATATCCCCCAGTTCTTTGATTGTGTCGAACAACTGTCGAATTTCTCGGTTTGAGACCAGCAGGTTCTCCCGATTTCTAATAGAATCTTCTCGTAAAGGCTCTGGATGGGATGGAACTGCGCTTGATCGGGCGCCGGTTGATGAGCTTGAGCCGAATGGTCGTCGACTCAAAGTGGTACTGGTATTACCACTCCGGAAGAAAGATGCAGCCACATCGATGTCAAAACTAAAATCGTCCAGCGAATATTATGTAACGCGTCCACAGGTCGAGCGACGCTTCTCTTTCCCTTCTATTTCGTCTAAGCGACCCGTAAGCCAATAATCTACTTCTAGAGCAACCACGTGAGTAAGACTAACCAATAAGCGCTTTCTCATTGAATGTCACGCATTTTGTCGCCACGACTGTCGGCACTTAACTCGGCAGCATATTAATCGATTGCTGAGAGTTCTTCACCAAGGCAGCATAATAGGTGAAAGTACGGATCAATTGAGAAGGAAATTTTGTGAAAACTGCGCTTCTTGGTTTGGGGAAAGCTTCTATTATGATCACATATGTGAAAAGTCCAGTTTGCAGAGATTAAACGTGAAAGGTGAGTTGAGTTAATAATGAGGTTGATCTTTCTCAACATAGGTCGACGATAGTTGAAATTCCTGAAAAGTTTTCTTCAGTCCTCATAGTGTTTTAAGCCCGGGTCGCACAAGATATAACACTCTTGATTATTTGCGATGGTTCAAAGTTAAGCCGTTTTGAGAGAAGGAAGAATCTTGTTCCGCGGGCTGGACAGAACTGAAAAACCCCTGCGCATGGTAGAGACTCGCGCGTGGGGGAAACTGGGGACGACAACGTTAAACCATAGCAACACGCACGTGAAATGGCAGAATTTTCGAAAAAAAAAATGAACAGCGCCATTTTTTACTCCAGTTAAGACTTAGGTAGAACTTGCGCGCCTTAAACCTTCGCCAAAGACCGACTGGTAAGAGTGCTAAGACATATCTCCTAAACACAAACCAAAATTTTACAGCAAAGACAAGAGTCAAAGATCTCTGCTGGAACATCTGAAAGCATTACCAACAGTTTTTTAAATAGTAACTATCACCTGTAATATCAATTAAGCTAGGCTGTAACAGGTATTACAGGTTACGGGTTACAGCCCCTAATGACAATGCCACATGCACAGTACTTTTACAGCTCTGTCCAGGCTGTCTGTTATGGGCTGTGTTTATGTAATTACATTCAAAACTTTGTTGGGTGGTCTGGTCAAAAATCATTTTTGACTTGTGGCGACGCAAAAAAAGAGAATTGGAGAACAACTAGACTATTTTTGAAACATGTGTCCTGAACCCTTTTCATGGGCAAAAAATAAAAGAAAATTTTTTCTGACGGAAGTCGAGAGGACCGCTCTTAGCGAGAGTGGCACTTAAAATCATCTCGTTGTGCTATATTATCTCACTGGTCAGTCGTATATACTACCGGTACGTTTCGGTGGTAGGGTAAGGCTAAAACCTAGGGAAAAATTAAACATGTTCTAGCTCCGCAAATCATTGAAAGTTGAGCAAACCACGATCCTTTGTCGCGCTCGACTATATATTCTTAATTTTCAGACAGGTTTTGTGCCTTTCGGTTCTGGATTTACATTGGATTTTATCCAAGCCATTTGTTTCCTTTCTTCACATTTCAAATGAAAGTCTTGTTTAAGTAGTCAACTTCAATTTGTTGGGGAAAATCGCCAATGCAAAATCGTTCACAACGGAATTCAGAAAAAAGTTTTTGTTAAAAGTTTTGTATGAGGCTACTTTCATATTCTATTTCATAATACATCTTACACTTTTCTAAACATAAACCTTTCTTTACATTCTTTACATTTATAACCTCAAAATCTCTCTAAAAAGAAACAATCTCTTTGATTCAATGCTGTACACACTTATCATCTACTAAATATTCCTGCCACCCCTAACAAATTTCAAAAATATATTACACCCAAAAGGCTTGAAAAAGGACACAATGAAAACAACCTTAATTTAAGCGCTGAAAAATAATGGATATCAGCAGGGAGAAAAGCGTTCTCCCAATGCCTGGTTTTGTTTCCTATAACAAATCATTATCAGGATTTCTATTTTATGATCGCTAACAAATTTCTGGGTGCCGTTGGTTTAGTTCAAATGCACCTTATCGAGCGCGACAGTAATTTAGGAAGTTCCGTGTTCTGCTTCAGATATATTCCCTCATGGAATATTATTTTTCAAGAAATGAGGTTTCCTCACAGGTCTCATGTTGCTTGTATCCCTATATCCACTTTATTAGAAATATAGCCAGCAGTAGTTAAATTCAATTACGGTTAGAGAGACCCGGATATCTCTATAAAAACTTTACAAATTCGTAGGAGTCAGTGAGTCATATATTAAGGTCTTTACCAGTGGTACTTTGTTGCTACTGAGCTTGAGGTAAGATGATTCAGAGACGCTCGAATATTGGATCTGGATTTAGGAAGGATTGGTTGATGGGATTAGTACCCCCTCCTGGCCTCTCAAACAATTTGTTCGGATTAATCAAGTTTGTAAATTTATGGCATACTGTAATACTGATTCATAGACGCTTGGAGATAAATTAAAGGTGCATGACACATTTCTAAACCTCACATTCAGTTGTTGCGCTCAGTTCAAGTGCTTTGACTGCTTATTCAAACTAGGCTCTCGTGTTTTAATCAAATAACAGGTGTCACTGGGCTGATTGTTTTTCTTTTTTTCTATTTCTTTTTTTTTTCTTGTTTTGTTTGGTTTTGTTTTTTCATCCCTTCATTCAAAGGATAATAATCAGAAGAAAACTGAAACACAGACCTAAGCACCGAATTGCATGGATATTCTTAACCTGATAACTAGACTAGTTAAGAAAGAGGGAAGGGTCTAAGGGGGAAATTCCATCCTCGAATGATTCCTTTAACAAATTTGTTTACTTTTTTTTTTCTTTGTGGACAATCTATCACGGAACGAATTTTCCGAAACCAATGCATGTCTTAAAGGACATTTCGAAGTCCAAGTGTTAATGCCGCTTTCTTAGGATAAGATGCGACAGCACCCACGCATTGAACTGCCTACTTTCAAGGTTGGATTCTGTTTAATATATTTGCCTCTCTTTTGTGCCGGCCTCGTGTATTTTTTTAAACTTTAAAGATCGTATGCTCGTAAGACTGTTTTTAACAATCTCAACTTTTGTATTAAAAAGGATTTTACGTCAATTGTCGCCCATTTCTATATTAGCGCAGTCATTAGAGTGGTTATTTTCTTCGTGAATATAATAATTTCGGCAAGAGGAGAAGGAATTTCGTCCATAAAATGTCGTCTGCGGTACGTACTTGAGCAGCCATTTCGAATCCTTGTTTACCTACTGCAAACTACGTGATCACACAGCTAAAAAGATCTATTACTAGGGCTGCTCATTTTATAAAGAGAAATTAACATTTCGGGAGACGAGGAGTGGCACATAGGGGGAGGTAGGAACAAGGGTACTGTGCATCAGCATTAGAGGAAAGAAGGCATCTAGGTCACTTGGAGATAAGGCATTATTGTATGTTCGGTAGATTTGGATTTAAGGCGTCTTTTACAAAAATAAAGAAGAGTATAAACTTACAAGTCCGATAACAAGGTGTTTTTGCTAAAAATGTCTGATGGTAATCCCTTCAACTGATTGTTGTCCAACCGCCTAACAAAAAATTAATTAAATCACATCATTTAGTACGTTACACCAGTTAAGGAAGGTCAAGAAACACAGAAAATGCTTGTAAACAGACTGTAAGCGTCAATAAAGCAATGCCTCCTTTGTAGTTGCAATAAGAAAACGAGCTATATTGTAGAACAAAATGACTTTGAGGGTTTTCTATTCGAAGCATTGAAAACAGTCCACTGAACACTTTAAAAATTCCTCTCTACTCCCTCTGTATCTTCCAATCACCTATTGTTATAATACATGAGGCTTTACCATACGAACTGATATGAAGTGTAGACCACTTCATGAGTCAGGCGACGTTAATTTGTTTTCATGAGGGTGGGGGGTAGGGTAGTTAATTAAGATACCAAAAGAAGTATGAAAGGGAAAAATAATGAACTAATAATTAAGAATGTGTGGAATAGACAGACGTTGGCAGAGAAGAGTAAGGACAATTTTCTCGTGTTACGACTGGTTTGCGGCCCAGTCTGGGTTTCCATACGGGAAGTTAGTTTTTAAACATGCCCAGAAGTGGCCTTTTCGAACGGTGCCACATAGCTGCATGATACCGGTGTACAAATGTATGTAATATTTTCCGCAGCCAGCCGTAAAATTGTGCCTTATTTACCGATAATACTGGAGGTGGGGAAACTAAAACACCAACAAAATCATTTTAATTTATTTGCCTAAATTGCAAAAAAAAAAAAAAAAACGCAGGAAATGGCATTTCCGAAACCCTAGATTTAAAAATGTTCTGTAAGAGCATGCCCCCAGATTTCTTATAAAGGGGTAAGTTTCTAAAGAAACTGTGGTGCTGCGTCGGTGGGAGAGTATAGCAGGTAATTTAGTGTTAACAACTGGGTTGAAAACGTAAATTAGCCACCGTAAAGGGTAAAAAAGCTGACGTTTCGGGCGTTAGCCCTTCGTCAGAGCGATAGGGCTAACGCTCGAAACGTCAGCTTTTTTACCCTTTACGGTGGCTAATTTACGTTTTCAACCCAGTTGTTAACACTAAATTACCCAGATTTCTTAGTTTGGACGGCCTTCACCGCTCGATATTATCTCCTCGTGCGTTCACAAAAAAGTTTGACGCTACACCTGGAGGATGTCAACTTCTCGATCGGTATATTTTTACAATGTGATAACTAGGCGAACAATAACGTGCAATAATAACCACCAGCGCTACGTTCAAAAATACAAACGGTTTAACAATTCATCGGCGGTGTGACGGTAGCGGCGAGATTCGTAATTTCGTTCGTCGCCATATACGTGCATTGCATGAGGCTACAGAGTTTGTCGGATGTGATGTGATACATTATTGCGACCATTATAAAACCATCAACACAATGATAACGAGACTTGTGAAAATCATAATTCCCCGCGATGGATATTCGATTAGATAAACTAAAAGCAGGGAATTAGACAGGAGTACCGATCGTTACGTTTAGCTTTTCGTAAATACTACGAGTACGTTTCGGTAGCTGGGTATGGCTAATACCAACACTGTGTGAGATAGGGCGTATCGCGGTGCTGAAACCACACGATACAGACCCGTATTCTTCGAGAACACGGACATATCCGGACGTACCGTGTTCCAAGACATGCGATGTGTCCA